AATTTTTTTTCAAATTTAACTTTAATTATTGATTTTTAACTTTTCACTATAATTTGTATATAATTTTTACTTTAAATATAATTTGTAAACAATTAATTGTAAACAATTAAACTTAAAATGAAATTAAGTATATATAAAAAAGTTAAATTTGAAAATAAAAACTTTGTTTTTAATGAGGTATGAATAAGAAACATATTTACATTATATAAAAAATATTATTTTTAATATTTAAAATCTTATTATAACTTTTACAATCAATAAGATGTAAAAATAATGTTATAAGTAATATTAATAATAAGTAGAGTTAATAATAAGTGTAAAAAATGTTTAAAAAAGAATTATGAATGAAAAATCTTTAAAAAAGTATTAACACACACATATAGGTATTCTATTTATTTTCTAATCGCTGAATTCGAACTGCTATTTTCAGAATAATCTTGATGATTCCTTCTCTTCATTTGATATAACATCATCTTTGTCTTATTCAGCATTTTCTTCGCTATTTTTTTTTTCATCGTTCTTGATCATGTTTCTTTTCTTTTTTTCTATGATATCTTTGTTTTATCATACGTAGTACCTGTAGAATCTCAATCTTAAAAGCTTCTCTCTGCTGAGCCAAGTGAACTTACTTACTAGTCAGTCATAGTTTGTTTGATCGCGATGTAAATGAAATCTTGCAGTTTCACAGCACCACGCGATACTGAAACAGAACAAATGTATTTTATTGCATTATATTTCAATACTATACCTCAGTAACATTTTAATTTGATTAATTTCAATTGATTAATTACTAACTGATAACTGATAAAATTACTAATTGATAACTGATAAAATATTTATCAGTATGCTAAAACCAAACAAGTAAGTGAAGATTTACACTGTTACTCGTTCTTCTTCGGTACTATTTTCCCTTTTCTCATGCGTGCCAGAAATATGATATAATATTTTCATTCTTACTGATAGATTCATTATATTGTAGTTTCGGATAATGTTACCGGAGACAGATCAAATAAGCTGCTGTGCCGGAATTTATACGAATTCGAAATCTCTTGAGTGACTTTCCATTGTATTAGATGTACAACTTTGCTTCCGCGTTTTCCTAGATGGCTTTAGCGGTAAGTGGTGGTCGAAATAAATAGACATCATACAATAAACTTGGGCATCTGTCAACATAACCCCATAGAAACATTAGTCGATTTGTGTCTGCATCATAAAGTTATTCTCGATTGAAAATGTCAGTTTACGAGCCAAATTCTCGTCATTTGCGGGAGATTTTAATTTTTTACTTCAATATGAAGAAATCTGCGGCTGAGGCTCATCGAATGCTCTCAAATACTTATGGTGAGGCCGCTATTAGAGAAAGAATGTATCGTGAGTGGTTTCAATGCTTCAAGAACGGATTTTGACGTCTAAGGTCATGCTCTGTATTTGGTGGGACCAGCTCGGCGTAGTGTATTATGAACTGTAAAACCGACTGAAACAATCACAGGCGATCGGTATCGAACGCAATTGATGCGTTTGAGCCGAGCATTGAAAGACAAACGGCCGTAATACAACGAGAGACACGATTAAGTGATTTTGCAGCATAACAATGCTCGATCTCATGTTGCGAAAGTGGTCAAGACATACTTGGAAACGTTGAAATGGGAAGTCCTACCCCACCCGCCGTATTCTCCAGACGTTGCTCCCTCTGACTATCACTTGTTTCGATCAATGGCACACGGCCTGGATGACTAGCCCTTCCGGTCTTATGAAGAAGTAAAAAATTGGATCGATTCGTGAATAGCCTCAAAAGATGACCAGTTTTTTCGACGCGGGATTCGTACGCTACCCGAAAGATGGGAGAAAGTAGTGGCCAGCGATGGACAATACTTTGAATTATAAATGTATAATCAGTTTTTTTACAATAAAGCCTCGAATTTCGGAAAAAAAACGGCAGAAGCAAAGTTGTACACCTAATAGTTAACTGTCTTTTCTTGTGTCTTGCACTGAGACTCATGAATGGTTTGAATTTGGATGACATCTTTTGCTATGTTCCATGTATTGTTGATCAAGATGGCCAAGTCAGGAAAATTATTTAAAAGAATATGAAATGATATATTATTGTATAATATTTCTAAGTAACAAAATAATTGAATATCGCCATTCTTAGAATGAGTTTTTATTAGTTGCAGTATTAATATAGACACAGCTATTCGTAAATAGAAATTTTGATAAGAAATTAAGAAAGAAGTATAATGTCAGTGAATTAGAATCATTATAACCAAAGATCTGATAATTGTGCATTAGGGGACCCAGCTCTGATGACTTTTATCTTGTATTGTCAAGGTCATGATCCTAAATGACTTGCGACAGGTTTTACTTGCCTGAGTTTACCTGCGACAAGCGGTCGCTCTCCATTAAAAAATTATTAACAAAAAAGTTTCAAAAATAACATATTTTTACTATACATACACGATATTAAGTATTATTCTATACATCCCCTGGAAGGAAAATAAATTTTGTTTCTAGCACAATGATATTTTTAATGCACTTTTTATGAACAAAATAACAATAAAACATTTTTTCATGATTTCATTATAATTTTTACATTTTTTTATAAAAAAATTTGATTGAGTTAAATGAAACTTCACAATTTATTCGATTAAAAAAAATAAATATCATTCATAAAGAGAATGAATAATCACAAATTTTTAAAAATTGCTTACCAACAAGAAGCGTCGATGTATAAATTATATAGATTTAGTAGCCAAAATAAGTGGCCTTGGTATTACTTTGATAAATAATCGATGAAATAATGAAGTTATTGGATATTAATTATCTTGGTTCGATTTCAACGGCTTTAATTAAATTTGTAAAATTATCTAAAACACGATCGTAAGAAAAGATAAATATATATTATGAAATATACATTGAGAAAAATTATTGTCATTGGAAATAAACTAATATACTGACTGCGAATTTACTTACACATTTATTTACACTTTGAGATTTTACACGATAATCCAATAAACAAAATAAATTTGTTTCACTTTTTTCACATTGAAAAGTTACGATAACAGAAAATCACTAAATATATTGTAAGGAGACTGCAAAAAATTAGCTAGAAATATTTAAAGAAAGGGAAACAAGCCTAATGGAAAGAAACGTTCGCGAATATGTAGGAAATCCCCAAGAACGCTATAACAAATCTTCGAGAGGCAATAATAATAGGACAAACACTTAAGGGAAATCTTAGTATATGACAGGTGTAACGGATGAACGGATAAGAGCGTAGAAAGAGGTCAATGCACTGAGCAGAACGTTAACACTTTATTCACGTTTTGACGCCAGATCGAGATACAATCCTTGGAACGCTTCCCGACCTTCCCTTTTGTACATTTCCGCCTTAAGCTACGTATTACAAGTAAACACCTAATCAGATGCTATCTTCGGATCAGAGTCAATAACACGTCGACTCTTATGCTCATATGGTTACAAGATAGATAAATCACCAATAAAAGTGAAGGAGACTAGCGACTACCAACGCCGTGTTCCAGTGTATATCGGCAGTGTATATCGGAACATGCCTCAACTACTATTTTAAATCTTATATCCTGCAATTGCAGGAAAGATTGTTATTCATCACCGTCTGGATGCAAAAGATTAGGGCTGAAATATTCTGACCTTTGCGGACACCGGACATTGCCAAGAAATGATGCCAATGGTTACAAATACAACAGCAAAATAGAGGAGGAAATATATACAGACACCAATTTAGAAGACGCATTCAAATAAATTTAATAAAATATGTCTATATATAACAACATATAATTATGAATAACAATTAATAAATGGATCTTTTTTTATAATTTTTCTAATGTCCGTAAATCAAAATGCCTTTAAAAAATGATATCTCCATAATTATCGGCCGTATGATATTCATTTAAAAAAATCATTTTATAAATAATTAAATACTCTTTTGATTTTTTTTGTTATATGTATTTTGTACGTAGGTACAACCAAATTTGAGATATTCACAAAGCCAAAATATATTTACGTAACATTAAAAAATAAGGGATCCTTTAAAAAAATTTCGGAAACTATTGCGCGTACGAAGTTCGTTAAGAAACGAAATTGTGGGGAACTTTATCAGCTTTATTTTCGAACTGAAAATTAATTTCCGTACAACAAATAGTTTCTAGGATATTTGCAAAAAACCAATTTTATGCGATATTTTTTCAAGATAGCGTAGCCGACCATGCCTTCATACATAGGTAGTTTTGTTATGTTAAAAAGAACACTATTACAAAATATACACAATATATACAAAAATTCAGCTTTGCAGCAATTTTTTCCTTTATATCGCCAAAAATCGTCTAATTTTCCTGAGCTAGTAAATTTTTATCCGTTTAATTATATTAAACTGATTATGCATTGCACGTGATGTTTGACAATATTTCATGATTTTATTTTTTTTGTCTTTCTGCAAATAAAATAATGTAAACTATAATGTAAACTATAGTATTGTCATTTGTCATGTGTAATCAGAAGCTCTTAGTTCCTTAAAATTACGATACAAATTTCTTATAAAAGTTTCTCTTTTTAATGAGATTTCCTCAGTTCTATTGCTCGTAACTTCTCTCATATGTCTGTGGTGCGCACGCTGGTTGTACACAGTCATATGGGATCTACAGTTTAATATCGATGATTTATTGAAAAAGTGGTCTTCCTACGAGCGTTCGAAAATTCGGTTCTGTCTGGATCGAACCCGGGATCTTTGGCATAACAGTTTCGTGCGCTGCCTGCTATGCCACGCTCGCACTCATGAGTCATTAAGATCTCTTGATGAGATTCACTTTTCTCTAAAATTTTTCTGATAATCCTGAAACTCCTTGTATATTTATATATCTTACGTTTTATATTTTTATTAATATAATTTTATTAAGTTTTTCCGAAAATAATAAATTAATCTTCATTTATCTGTTTTTCAGTGCGTGGCAATGGAAATACATCCTTTGTACTTAATGATACCAGCCACACTGATGTGTTCATTTTCATTTCGCTTGCCAGTTGGCACACCACCGAACGCAATTGTAACAATCGCAGGACATATCCCTACAAGTTGGTTAATGGCTGGAGGCTGTGCACCTGCAATTTATTGTTTGATAGTAGAAGTAATTTTTTTCCCTACATGGGGTGTTTTCGTTTACGGAATTAAAGAGTTTCCTGATTGGGCCAGATATATTGAAATAGAAAATAATACAGATGTATTTCATTAATTAATTCACAGTAATAATTTCAGTTATGGAGCAGATTAAATCTCAGTTTTCTGTATTTAGTTTCATTTTACAAAATTTGACTCACTATTAAACTCAAATGTGGAAAATTAATATTTTGAATTTGTTTATACTTAAATTACATCGTTTTTAATTTTTCTCAATTACGTTATTTTGAGGGAGTATATTAATGTACTAGGGACTATACTATTGTACTTTACAAATATATATACGAGGATAATATTGTAAAGAGTAGTGTGATATCTTTCCAAAATAAAATTTAATATAACTTAAACAAAATAAATATTTAAAGCAAACTTTTATGTCTAAATTACATTCCATAACAAACATAAAATAGGTACAGAAATATTTTTCTTACACTGAAAAAGTATTTGTGTGAAATAACATGATTATGCTAGTTTATTTTTCGATCCATAATTATGTAATATTACAGTTCACAGTTAGAAAATTATAGATTATATTAATTTTACTTACAATATGTATTTTCGGGGTTCCATTGAACATGGTATTTCATATTCAAAATTTGATCTCGCGCTAAAATCATGCGCACAGTAATTTTGATATGTTAAACAAACTCTATGTATAGACTCTGTATAGAAATGTATAATTTCCGTTTTTATAATGATCTCGAATATGGTTTCATATACTAATTTTTATACGTTATATTAAATGTTAATTGTATAGAAATCAAGTTCAGATATAAGAAAAAATTTTTTTTTATTTTTAACATACATTGCTTTCTTATTATTCTTATAAGATTAATTAATTTATAGTTTCAAATATAATTTATTTTATTTATTTAATTACGCATCGCATATTTCGCAATTTTTAAAAACGCGGTATCGATGGAACCTTTACGACTTCTGGAGTGGTAACTAAACACTCTAACACGGAGCTACAATCATACATTGAAAAAAGTATTTACGTGATTATACTTATAAATCTTTTCCAATCTTACCAGCATAATAATGTAAATCCACATAAAAAATTACAGATTATGTTAACTTCACATGTAATATTGTATATACTTTTGGCATTTCATTGAACATGAAATTTTACATAATGTGAAATATACAGGTAATCAGATCTATACTGCTTTACCCATTATTTTTTCGGCGCGTTAAATTTACAGATTCTAATTAATAACAATAATCACACAATAAGTTTAAAAATCTATTTTTTCTGGAATTCTGCACGAAATTGTTTTTTCCGTTTATACGTTGTAAAATCCCGCTTAAATTTAAAACTACATTCTACAAATTATTTTTACATAGAAATAGTATTTTTACATATATATATTTTTGTATTTTTACATATATATATATTTTGTCATTAAATTGTACTTGTTTTTTCTATTAATTATACTTGTTTTTTCTAAAAAAGAAGATGTTACATTGATAATCTAATATATCGAAATATTGTTGCTTTTTTTCGGCGATACCGATTGATTCTCTCGCTGTGTTTATTTCGTGAGTGGCTATCACATAGAGATCGCGCATTTGACGGTTACATATATCGAAAGATAAGTGTAATCGATTAATAATATTATAAAAAAAAGAGTTAGTAATGTAATGATAGCATTGTAAAATAATTACAAATTGTTGAATATTTCTTCCGTTCTTCTTTGATTTTATTCCTACGTTGATGATTTCTTTTTTCCCTTGGATGTAAAATGAAGATTGTTTCAGATAAGTTTAATTTTTAATATTAAACTTTTTAATATTAATCTTTTAATTATTAATTGATATTTTATTATAAAGAATTGTTACTTTATGTTGTATTTTATTTGCAGTTTTCCTTTCATATTATAACTATTGTAATGCGAGCCTAAAAATGAACTCGAGATTGTAGACTTATTATACAAGCAGTTTATGATTCTTTTAGTTTCTAGTTACTTTGTGTTTTTGGGATTAATGTCCCTTACTTTTTTACATTTCTTTGAGTTACCTGTCTACATTCTCTTTCACCTTCCGTGACTGTTCTCGTATGATTAAACTTGAGTTATCCACAAAAATTTTTTAAATTAAAAAAGTCGATAGATCAAAAAACGAGCAAAAGAAAGATCTAATTAAAAAAAATATATACCAGTGTATGAAACCGGAATTTACCAATAGATGACCAATAGCTGTCAATGTAATTGCCGTCAGACGGCGTCATTGACGCCATTTCCTTGTTCTGACATCTGACAAAGATTTTCAACTCACAACAATACAAGTTTCATACAGTATAATTTGTAATAGCGTTGAACATATCGAATTTTGTGGCCTGGAAACTACGATTTGCGGACAGCATTGATTTTCTGTTACCATTTGAAGAAAACTGCTGCAGAATCACATCGAATGCTTGTCAAAACTTACGGTACATGCTCTTGGTAAATTACAGTGCTTTGAGTGGTTTAAAAAATTCAAAAGTGGCGATTTTGATGTGAGAAACGAAGAACGTGGAAAACCATGCGATGAAAAGTGGATATATTTTGAGAATCCTAAACGTAAAAGATCATGGGTAACTTCAGAACCATCGAACCATCGACATCGACTGCAAGGCCAAATCGCTATGGAGAATGCTCTGTGTTTGGTGGGATCAGAAAGGTGTGATCTATTATGAGCTGCTAAAACCTGACGAAACCAGGTTAATACTGAACGCTACCGACAACAAATGATCAATTTGAATCAAACTTTGTGTGAAAAACGATTGAAACATCAAAAAACGCAACACAAAGTGATTTTGCTTCATGATAATGCACCATCACACACAGCAAAACTAGTCAAGGAAATGATTGAGACATTTGATTGGGAAATACTTTCGCATGTGGCTTACTCACCAGACTTGGCTCCGTCGGATTACCACTTATTTGCATCGATGGGACACGCACTTGCTCAGCAGCGCTTCACTTCTTATGAAGATGTACGAAAATGACTAGATGACTGGTTTGGCTCAAAAGAGCAACAATTTTTTTGGCGTGGCATCCACAAATTGTCAAACAGGTGGAAAAAATGTATAGCTACCGATGGGCAATACTTCGAATAAAATATTTTTTATCATTTTCATGCAATAAACGTGTATTTTCTATTAAAAAATTCCGGTTTCATATTTACATACCTGATATAATATTTTACTTTACATCACAAATTAATATTCGATGTCGTATAGTATGGAACATTTCAACTATAATAAGTCTAGGAGGAAACTTTGATCTTCCTTTTAACAGGAATAAAAGAAAAGTGGTTCATGAATTTATGAAACATATTGAGAGTTATAGTAGACATTTTACTAAAGATATAACAAGAATTAGTTGTTATCCTTTAACTTCATTCTTTCTTACTTAATAAAAAAAGGACAAGTTATTTGGTTTGAAAAACAATTAATTAGTGCATAATGAATTTATTAAATTTCTTAAATCAAATCCTAATATATTGTTTACTAAGGCTGACAAAGACAATGTTACTTTAAACAACAAAAATGAATATATTATCCGTCTTAGACCATCCGTTTTTTATCTCGGAAACAGAGCATTTTAGAAAAAAACGGACAAAAGTTGTGAGGTTTTCAATAATCTATTTAGTGATCTAATCAGTCTGACCTTGGGTAGTGTCACCAAGGTCAGAGCAATATCATTTTGAATTTTTTAAATAGAATTCCCTATTTCATTGCATATTCTTGTACATCATCACTAAAGTACAAAGAAAAATGCGTTTTTTTTAGATATAAATTAAGAGACTTTTTTTATAATACTATATAATAATACAATTTTCGCTCAATAATTACATAAGTAATATCATCTTGTAAAATTTCTTTTATTTTATTTATACATATATTATGCTTACTAATTTCTTTTCACAATAGTAACTACTAACAATATTGTCTAAGAAAAAAATATTGCGGCATTGGACAATAAAAAGAAATGGAATAAAATAAAACAAAAACAGAGATAAGAAAGAATTTCGAAACAAAGAGAATTTAAAAAAGAAATAAAAAATTTAAGAGCGAGAGAATTATGTAACTATATGCATACAACTCAATTGAAATAAATTGAAATCGGATGACAGTAATGACAACATGATAGCATGATAATAACAGTATTAAAGAAAGAGAAGTATTTAAGAAGTCTATCAATTTTATAGTATAATAAAACATCATTGTGATTTTGCGAGTAACATGCACATACCAACAATTTCATGTAGATTACACAATTTGACAATACAAATGTGCTAACGCAAATTTTCGGATTACGAAGTGTAATAGACTTTTAAAATATAAATGAAATAAACATTTATTATACTTAAGTTCAGTTTCTGGCAATGCTTTGCTTCATTGCGTTTTTTAGCCAAAAATAACGTAGCCAAAACTCAGTAACGCAAAATCGCCTTCATGGAGGAAATTACGTTCACACTTTTCTTACGGCGCTCATGCGTAGGATTACTAAATTCACGAGAGTTGCAAGTGTCGAGAATCGGAACTTAACTCGAAACTTAAAATCGGTTTATGTTTCGTAGACTGACTAGATTGAGTGCAGTTTCCTTAGTTTCTTCCTTCATGCTTTTGGAATTGAAGTGAGATAGTTTAGGTTACGAAATTCGTCACACCGATAGCATAAAGGAACACGTAAGTGAGGCTAAAATAAGTATTTTCTGCTTCTGAAATTACACAAATTTTCTGTTGTAAAACACATTTTTTGCTTGAAAAATACAAATTATTTCCTATAAATATTAATATAATTCCTATAAATATTAATAATTTTTGTTTTACAGCAAAGAATTTGTCCCGGTTAGATATATTTGTTTATTTAAAAATACAAATTATTTTCTATAAAACACATTCTCTGTTTTAAAAACAAATTTTCTACTGTAAAAACAAAAATTATATAGAAAATATTATTATATAGATATAAAAATTATATAGATAATAATTATATAGAAATAGCATTTTTAGTTAGAGGCAAAGGTAAGTATATACAGTTGTCAGCAATATGATTCTGCTCTTGGTTGTTGAAACACGTGTGGGATGAAACACAGATTATGAGAATCTTCATGGTTATATTATGACTTTATCAAAAGGTAAGATATTTTTCAGATTCTCTTACACTTTTCCTATAGATAATTCAAATATATTAATTTCTTTTTCAGTATGCAAAGATTTTCCTATGGCCAAGCAAGGTGTTTACGCACTCGTAAAATATGTATCACAGAAGACTTAGAACCAACCAGGGTGACAATTATTGATGAAGAAAGTGATATACGAAAGTTTTAGTCAAGCTGCAAAATCCAATTAATTACAATACGAGGTAAATTGTAAATTGTAAAATAAAAAAATTATAATGCAGGGTCTACAATATAGAAGTCGTAACGGTCATAGAGTCTTATTTTCTACGGCTCAAGACTCTACGATCGCTACGACTTCTATTGTATTGGCTATATATTTATGTATACGATAGAAATTTTCTATGCTATAATAGGTTTTCAGGAATTATGAAAGACATGAAGGTCGTGATGACGAATATTTTAGATGTACAAGTTTCTTGGATAAAACGATCTTGATAGGTGATAGTGTTGATTCAAAGCTTTAAAGTTGCTACACGATGTCGTGGATACAATAGCATTATCCATTTCTGCATAAAAATGGATATCAGCAAAAAAGAGCATTGAAAAACTAATTCTATAATATTTAATTTTATAGGTAGCGTAGATACGACTTGGACAATAGGAGCAGTCTTAAAAAAGAGATTACAACCTTGCTATTGTCATTCGCATTCAGTGATCACAGCAAGTAGCAATTTAGATTAGGTTGTGGCCTAATCATCGGTTGAGAACGATATATGGCTATGCAATTTTCAAAAAATTGCGGATTCAAGAAAAATTGAGGACTATCTTAGGGCTTATATTACTATATCAACTCCTTTTTGATTTGTCTATGATATTACTCAATAAATTGGGTTGCCTATCTGCCTATGAGCAGGAGCACGTTACTGGTAATGCAGAATATGATTTGATCGCAAGTCCGAGGGGGAATGAAGCAAGGGAAATTCAATTTTATTCTGATATAGTGTAAAATTTAATAATATTATATAAAATATGTATTTAATAATATAAATGACATTTAATATATATTTAAAAATATGTAACTATAAATATTTGTAATTAAATTTTTTAAATGTCATTTATGTCAAATACATATTTTGTATTCTATTATTGAACTTTATACTAATATATAAAATTCAATTTCTCTTGTCTCATTTTCCCCTGGACTTGTCATCTAATTTTATTTTGCATTACTACTAGTAAAGCATGCCTCTGCCCATGGGCAGACTGGCAACCCGATTTACTGAATGTATAGGTTACGGAAGCACCTTGTACACTCATTAATCTCGACTTAGAATTTCTTTTTAAATTATCACGATAGTTACAACCCGTTTTTTGCTTTCGTGATATTATTGAGAAGATATTGTTAAAAACAATTTGAGTAAATTATTCTGGGTTTATATAATATTCGTGCAAAATTAATTTGTTATCTGATTGGTTAAACAGCAAAATGCAGTTTGTTTAAAATCGAATATTATTGCATCATAAATATTTAGAATCATGAAAAATAAATTATTTATCTACTATCTTGTCGCAGTACTGGGACCCTATTCTTAAATTTGTACAACTATTTTCGTATACGAACAATTTCGTATCAAAATTTTCGCATGCGATTGATAAAATTAATTCTTGATCGCTCTACGAATCAATGTGTATAAATTCGCTACTAATCGCATGCGAATATCAGAGCGTTGTTGTCAAATCTTTATAAGTGAATAAACCAATCAAATGTAAATATTATTTATTTTTTGATATAAGAGATCTATCAAAATATTAACCTATAAATATTATCTAAACATTAAGAGATCCGTTTTAATGTTGACCATATAAACGTTTTCTTATCTTATAGATATTAATGTATTTATTTTATTACATATAGCTTTGCAAATATCTATATTTTTAATTCTAGATATCAGAAAAACGAACAGGAAATATATCGAGTGGACAAAGAACAATTCTTATTGAATTTTTAAATCTAGAATTAGTATCGGCAAAATTTTCTTCAAAATTTTCAAATATGGTCAAAAGCTGTGGTATGAAGTCACTGATATACTGAATGCCCTTCCTAGAGCTCAAAAGACTTGGGAACAGTGGCGAAAGGTAATTAAAATTATATATGTGCAATAAGTATAATGAAGATAACACACAAAATAACCTAATCTATGTAAATTCTTATAATAAACTTTATTTTAACATCAGTTAAAATAAAGTTTATTAATAGCTTTTTTTTAATCTTATAAACTTGGCATGATATGAAAACCAAAGTAAAAGGAAAAAAAACAGAAATCAATCGAAGTTTAAAAATTGGAGGTCCATCATATATAAATATAACAATGTAGCTCAATTGATTGGGTCTACTACTATTGAGTTGTCCGGAAATTTCGTGCCGACTAACCTATATAATTTAATAAATGTATACTAAAATTTAAATTTTCTTCGTTTCAATTTTCCTTCAACATCGGCACGAACTTTCCGGACAACCAATATATATGGTGATGCTGCTGTTGATGAATCCATTACTAAATTTGTAAATATCTGAGCATAAAATATACTTTCTAAAAAAAATTGATTTTACATGTTTTGCTCTAAAAATTAATTTCTCTTTTTAGGATTTTCAAAATACTGAAAATAATGAAATTGAAAACACAACGGATTTTAAAAAGAATCCATCTGTAATCCAATCTGTATTAAAAACTGTACTCAACAATAATAATATATTGAAGGATATTATAAATAAAAATAAATTTTTCATTATATATGTATTTTTTTATTTTAAATA